CTAATAAAAACCAATGCATGCAAATAACATTTGCATCACTAAAGTTATGCCACTTTGAGTAAATTGCATCATGGTGTAACATGTAATACCAAACCCATAACATCAAAGCTTAAAAACAACTACACTCGAACTCCATGGAATTATTTCGCCTTGACTCTAATCCTCACTGGATATCCCTCTATGATTTTCTCTCGGAATCCTAAGCTTACACTCAAATGTCACATATGTGTATAAAGTGATGTAATGTGCATCAAATATTAACACATATGCTTAGCTTGAAGAATGGAAATTTCTGAAAATAATGTCTCATAAAAAGAATTGAATACTAAGAACTAGAATACATACATCACCACCAAGCAAGATTTCTCAAAAGATTAGTTAGGTCTTTTACTTCGGTTGTAATGAAAGGCTAGGCTCAGGATAAGAAAGAAAGGAACGCTGCGAACATACCAAAGCATTATTCACAATCACATACATGGCCAGCACTTTTTGAACTTTTTGTAATACTCAACGTCCAGGAGTTGTGCAACTTTCCTACTCCATTTGGAGTGATTTAACTTTTATTCTTTTGAATTGCAATTTATTTATTTATTTTATTAATTTATTTTTATTTGCAATTTTGCACAAACACCTTTGTACACGCCAATTCTTTGGTATAGAGCTCAACCTTCTTACTTTCATCACTTTCGCACATCCTAAGCTATAAGGTATGGCTTAGAAATAGGTTGTATAGGTTATAGATAATAAGGGTGGTGAAAAAAAGGCTAAGTGTTTGGTCACAAAGGGGTTAATGACACTCACAAAAGGGTAGGATGAAAGGTCTTTTAGTGGCTGAAACATGCGTAGCCTAACATCATCTCTCATGGTCCATCCAACTTGGAAGTGACGTACCTACAAAAATAAGAAAATTCTTTAGTATCCAATACAAACCTAAAGAGAGAAATCTAATTAAGAACAAAATCAAAAAGTGTTTAAGAGTAGAAACAATAAAACCCCTCCCAAAGAATGGATTTTGGCTCAATATCTCACAAGGGGAGTCTCCACTAATATTCCAAAGTCATTCGAATTCGAGCATAGCAACTTTGTCCACCGAAATATTACGAGTACGATATTGTGAAGTGCAAAAATTATAATGCTATAACCCTTCATGGAAACACGCTAGTAAAGCATTCATGATCAAAACATGGCATGTACATCTCTATTAGCAAGAAAAAGTGATAGTTTTAACTAGAATTCACATTTCGGTAAAACTGCTTCCTTTCAATAATGACCTAAGATCAGTTTTCAGTGACTATCTCACAAAATACTGCATGAAATTTGGCAAGCCTTATATGCTCAAAAAATAGACAAAAATGTGCAGAACTTTTATTTAGAAAATATTCTGGAAAACAGAATGGAACTGCATGAAAATTAACATTGAAAACAGATAACAATGCAAATCACATAAAAACTTCAGTTCTAGACCCCTGTTTAGAAGAAAAAAAAGCTGTAACTTCCAAATGAAAATTCAACAGTTTTTTTTTTTTTTGGTTTGAACCACGAGGTGGTCCTGGATGGGAAAATTCAACAGTTTCAATAAAACATAAACACCAATGTTTTGCATGACTCAAAAAAACTACAAATGGAATTTTTTTTAAAATAAAATGAATGTTACCCACCTCAAACCTAAACCAAACGTTGTCCTCAATGTTTAAAAAGAAAATTAAAGCAAGGACAAGGAATAGTAAAAGGAATGAACACGAGAAATACACAAACGAAAATTAAAAAGATAAGGAATGAAAGTATACAAGCGCTTAGTTTAGAGTCAATAGCCCGACTTTTGGATGCATTTACTTGATCATCGAGGAGGACGTCACGATCATTCTTGATTTCAATTGTCCCATAAGGATACACTGTTAACACTGTGAATGGCCCGGACCAACGAGAGTGAAGTTTCCCAATAAAGAGTTTCAGCCGTGAGTTGTAAAGGAGAATGTTCTGACCCACATAAAATTCTTTCTTCAAGATGTGCTTGTTATGCCAGTTCTTTGTACGGTCATTGTAAATTTTCACATTTTCATACAATTCATTTTGAAGTCCCTCTAACTCATTCAACTGCAACTTCCTCTTCTAACCCACCGAACTCATGTCAAAATTGAGCATTTTAATAGCCCAAAATGCTTTTTGCTCCAATTTCACAAGAAGGAGGCATGCTTTCCTAAAAACAAGTCTATATGGTAACATCCCAATTGGCATCTTGAACGCCGTCCTATAAGCCCATAGTGCATCATCCAATTTCAATGACCAATCTTTCCTAGATGCATTCACCGTCTTTTCCAAGATTTTCTTCAATTCCCTATTTGAAACTTCAACTTGCCCACTAGTTTGCAGATAGTAGGGAGTGGAAACTTTGTGGGTAATGCCATATTTTGCAAGAACAGACTTGAAATTGACGATTGCAAAAGTGAGTACCATTGCACGCGAGACACCAAACCTTGTGAAAATATTTTTTTAGTACAAATTTAACCACAACCTTGGTGTCATTAGTGGGTAAGGCAGTCGTTTCAACCCATTTGGATACATAATCCATTGCAACAAAAATATACAAATTCCCACAAAATGCTGGAAACGGACCTATGAAGTAAATATACCCAAATATCAACAATTCTACCTCCAGAATATTATTCAAGGGCATTTGGTTTCTACCAAAGATATTTCCTGTAAGTTGGCAAGGATCACACCTCGCAACAAAGTCTTGAGCATATTTAAACAAAGTAGGTTAGAAAAACCCAGATTGTAGAACCTTGGCCACAGTGTTGGAAGCACCATAATGGCCTCCACAAGCCAAAGTGTGACAATGCAATAATATGTCAACCATCTCTGTCTGAGGTACACATCTTCGTATAACTTGGTAAGGACCGTCCTTCCACAAATATGGGTGCTCCCAATAGTAATGTTTAACCAAAGATAGGAATTTCTTTTCTGATAAAAGGACATATTAGGGGGAAGAATATCACAAGCTAGATAATTGATGAAGTCTGCATATCATCAGTGACGAATTCTTTCTCAAAACTGATGGAAAATAGTTGCTCGTCAGGGAATGTCTCTAGGATGGGTGCAACATCTTTTATAGCTTCATCCTCATGGAGTAGCCAAGATAGGTGATCAACCACCGCTAGAGGTGGGCACGGTCCAGTTCAGACCGATTTTTGCCTCAAATTAGAACCGAATTCGGTACTATTCATTCAATTTGGTTTGGTTCGATTGTAACAAAAAAGATTCAAAAATTGTCCGATTCAGGTTGAATCGATTCCGATTTGGTTCTGATTCGGTTCGATTTTGAACCAGATTATTAAAATTATTTTTTAAAATTATTTTTTTTATTTTTTTGACTTGAAAATTAATAAATTATTTAATTTCATATAAAAATAAATATTAAAGCTAGAAAAGAGAGATGTTTTGAAATTGAACTTGGATAAATATTAGTTATGAGATTAAAAATATAGCATTGAAATTATTGAAATTATATATTTTTTAATTTGACCGGTTCGGTTTGGCCCAGTCTGATTTTTGAAGACATTGAATCGGATCCAAAACCGTCCAAACTGGTCCGGTTTGGTTTTTGACTTGTTGTTGACTTTTTGGTCAACTCGATTTTTTTCGGTACGGTTCGGCTCGGATTTCCAGTTTGCCTGTTTGAATGCCCACCCCTAACCACCACGTTCTCATACATTTTTTTTTAATCTCGAATTTCAATATCAAACTCTTGAAGCAATAAAACTCATCGAATTATTCTCCAGTTTACTTCCTTTTTGGCGAGCAAAAATTTCAAAGCCGCATGATCTGTATAAACAATTACATTTGCACCTAATAAGTAAGAACAAAATTTATCCAATGCGAATACCAGAATAAAATTTATCCAATGTGAATACCATTGCTAACAATTGCTTTTCTGTAGTGGCTTAATTTAACTACGCATCATTCAACGTACGACTCGCATAGTGAATCACATGTAGTAATTTATTATTCCTTTGATCCAAGACCACTCTGATAGTATAATCACTTGCATCACACATACTCTCGAATGGTAATTCCTAGCCAGGTGCAATAATGACTGGTGCAATGGTGAGCTTCTCCTTCAATAAATTAAATGTCTCCAAACATTCCGAATCAAAGTTGAATTCGGCATCCTTTAATAGCAACTTGCAAGGAGGCTTTGTAATTTTCTAGAAATCCTTAATAAATTGACGATAAAACCTAGCATGTCCCAAGAAGCTTCGAATTCCTCTCAGTGTAGAAGGGGGTGGCAGGTTTTCTATGGTCTCAATTTTTGCACGGTCAACCTCAATACCTCTGGCTGAAATTTTTGCCTCAACACAATCCCTTCTTGTACCATAAAATGACATTTTTCCCAATTGAAAACTAAATTGGTTTCTTCACATCTTGCCACCACTAATGCCAAATTATCCAAACAAGAATCAAAATATGAACCGAAAATAGAGAGGTCATTCATAAATACCTCAATAAATCGTTCCACCATGTCAGAGAAATTGCTCATCATGCAACGCTAAAAGGTGGCAGGAGCGTAACATAACCCAAAAGGCATACAATGATAGGCAAAAGTGCCAAATGGAAATGTGAATGTCATTCTTTCTTGGTCTTTAGGCGCAATAGGGATTTGATTATAACCTGAGTACCCATCTAGAAAATAGTAATAAAGTGTGCTTAGCAAGTCTTTCTAGCATCAGATCAATAAAAGCCAACAGGAAGTGATCTTTTCTGGTTGCAGGATTCAATCTCATATAATCTAAGAAAAATTAGGTATTAGATATAATTAACTTTACTAATTAGTATTTGAGACATTGGGCATTTTTGTTTGGGTTTTAATACCTAAAAAAGAATTGTTATTTTGGATTATGCCAAAGAGGAGGCCCAGATTCGTTGGGCTGTCTAAATTATAAAGGTAAAATATAATTTTACCCTTTTGTTTTAAAATCAGATTTCAGCCTCTCTTTCTCCTCTTCCTTATTCACTCCAGCGATGAGGATGCCCTCTTCTCTCCATTGACGATACGACGCCCTCTCTTTCTCCTCTTCCTTCTTCGCTCAATCAACGATGACGACACCCGCTCTCTCTCATCTTCCTTATTTGCTCCATCGACAACGACACCCTCTCTCTCATCTTCCTTCTTTTCATACGAATCTCTATTTTTCATCTGGTGAGGTATGTGTTTTCTAGATCAAATTCTTATTTCAATTTTGTAGATCTGTTAGGCCAGCCTATATGGATCTAACAATAGATCCGTTATTTCAATTTTCTAGATCAGATTCTTCTGAAGCAAAGTTTCTGTATCTATTGATTTATTAAGCCTATATGGATCTAACAGTTCGTTAGGCCAGCCTTGTCATTGGTGTGGGGTGAAATGATTTGGCTTTAATTCACATTTATAAATAAGTTTTGAACTCTGCTTGATTACCTGAATGGAAGGTTTGGACATACATCCTTAATTCTTGATAATTTTTCATTTTCATTAGTCTAACGTTCTAATATTGGTCTCATATAACTTTTGAGATTGAAGAGATTGCAAATTGTAACAATGTAGTTGGTAGGAATTAAGCTATTGTTCCATGTTCTAAATTTTTTTTAGGTGAAATACTATTGTTCCATGTTCTAAATTTTTCTCTTAGAAAAGCATTAGTCTAATTACATAGAATACTCTGTAAAGATCCCAATTACATCACTGTATGAAAATTCCTCCTTGAGAGTGCCCTCTACACTTGTGTAACGGAAATATTGAACTAATACTAAATTATTACAATATTAGGCATTATTCTTTGCTCCATCAAGCTGCTTATTTGATTTGTCATGCAATGTTGTTTGATTCCTTTGGTTGCTGAATTTTCTTTGTGTATGACATGTTAGGTTGGCTCCTATCATTCATCTTTGTTATTGGTGGCTTCTAGACCTCCAACCCTTGGTGTTCTTAGTTGAGGGATTGGTCTGGAAGGTCTTTCTAGTGTCTTGGCTGGTCTATGGGGTATTGGAACAGGCTCCACAAGTTTAACTGAAAATGTGCGCAGACTAGCTGCCACTAAGATGGGAAATCGTAGAGCTGTTGAATTGGGCGTATGCGTTTTGATTGTCTTATCCCTTGTCGGTAAGTGTTTGTTAAGCTTCTGTTTTCAATTGCAACAATGAGCCAGTAACAACACAAATATGGTATCTTCTATCATTTTTAGTGCATGCTTAGATCATTTTGTTATAGCATGATACTACTAGTATTGATACAAGTATCTGTACAATTACTATTTCGACATTAGTTTCTTTTATGGTTGGGCATACTAGCATTTTAGTTTGAATATCTAAAATGGCAAGTTTATCCATTTGGTTCTGGTTATTTGAAGATTGCAATTGCTTAGATTATTTATTTGTGGCTTGGGTAATATATCATCCGCAATCTTCTTTATTCAATTTTTGGGATTACCATTTGCTTATTCTCCAGGTATTTAGCCTTTACTGGTTCTTGTGAAATTTAATTGTTTACATATGTTGTTTCTCTACTGCTGAAAAATATGCATAAGGTTTGCCTATTCATTTTAAGAAGAGTTAGAGGCACATGATGGTTGGGGATTGTGATTTCCATGAAATACTACTCTCCGAGCATTTTTTGATGAACTATTTCTCTTGTTTTTTTTGTTTTATTTTTCTTCCTAAAGTATACAATAATGCACATGGGGTGTGACCCTCAGTGGTTAGTTTTGCTCTGTCCTTGGCCTTCAATCTTACCAACTGCAATGCAATTTTTTTTATAAGAAACTGCAGTGCAGTTTCTTGTTCCATATTTTGATTTTAAAATAATTTTTCCAAGTCTATGGGAATGCTACAACTGCTCATCGACTTAAATATGTTTTAAACTTATTTTTAGTACTTTGATCATGGCTTTGCCTTTTGGTTTCTTTTCACATTTGAGCTTCTTTTTTTTCATAAACTGCACTGCAGTTTCTGTTGCAGTTTTTGATCAGAAACTGCAGTGCAGTTTCCTGTTCCATATTTCGATTTTGCAAGTCTATGAGAATATTACAACTGCTTATCGACTTGAATGTGTTTTGAACTTAGTTTTATTGATCATGGCTTTAAATTTTGGTTTCTTTGCAAATTTGAGCAGATGTTTTGTCATAAAATGCACTGCAATTTCCATTTGTTGCAATTTTTGATAAGAAACTGCATTGCAGTTTCCTGTTCCATATTTCGATTTTAAATAATTTTTCCAAGTCTATGTGAATGTTACAATTACTTATCTACTTGTGTGTGTTTGAACTTAATTTAAGTACTTTGATCATGACTTTGCATTTTGGTTTCTTTTCACATTTGTTGTTTTTTTAATTTATAAACTGAACTGCAGTTTCTGTTAGTTGCAATTTTTGATAAGAAACTGCATTGCAGTTTCTTGTTCCATATTTCGATTTTAGAATCATTTTTCCAAGTCTATGGGAATGCTACAACTGCTGCTTATTGACTTAAATATGTTTTAAACTTAGTTTTAGTACTTTGATAATGGCTTTGCCTTTTGTTTTCTTTGCAAAGTTGAGCAGATGTTTTGTCATAAACTGCACTGCAGTTTCTGTTTGTTACAGTTTTTTATCAAAAACTGCACTGCAGTTTCTTGTTTCATAATTCAATATGAGAATAATTTTTCCAAGTCTATAGGAATGTTACAACTGCTCATCTATTTATACATGTTTTGAACTTAGTTTTAGTACTTTGATCATGACTTTGCCTTTTGATTTCTTTTCACATTTGAGCAGATTTTTTTTCATAAACTGCACTTGCAGTTTCCGTTTGTTGCAGCTTTTTTATCAGAAACTGCAGTGCAGTTTCCTGTTCCAATTATGTTTGTTGCATCATGTTCTAAGATTATATAACAACCAACAATTTTTGTTTTTGTAGTTGTTTTCGTTTTTTTTTATAACATAATTGATATCTACATTGTATTTTTGTTGTAGTTTCTATTTTTATTTGCAGTTTTTGTGTGAATAAATGTTGAAATGATTTTTATTTTATTTTAAAAAAACTATTAATTGTTATATAAATATTGTATAACTGAATAAATATTACAAAATCAAGTTTGGTGTAGTGGTTTGTGAGTCATCCTTCCTCTTTTAAGGGTCAAGGTTTGAGTCTCTTCAATAACATAAAATCCTTTTTTTTTAAAGGTGAATAAAGGGCAACGGAGTTGGCCCCCTACAGGCGGTGGTGGGCGGCGGCAGGGGCCGGCGGGGGGTGGGGGGGGGGGGGGGGGCGGGGGGGGGGGGGGGGG